AAAAATCGGGCACTCGGGAAAGAGAATCTTTCCCGAGTGTTGCACTCGGAGAAGAATTGCACTCGGGGAAGAGAGGCTTTCCCGAGTGCCGCAGAGATCCTGACACTCGGTAAAGAGAAGCACTCGGCAAAGGCCCTCTTCCCCGAGTGCAACACTCGGGGAAGATCGACACTCGGCAAAGAAACATTTTACTTGACGGTCCACCCCGCCCACGCCGTTAAAACTTCAAAAAAAAAAATTCTTCCCCGAGTGTCTTCCCTGTTACTCGGGGAAGACGTCCTTTCCCGAGTGCCAGAACAGGGCACTCGGGGGGCCTTCCCCGAGTGCTAGAGAAGGCACTCATGGAAGAATTTTTGTTTTTTTGCCTTATTTTTTGTGAGGCCTTCCCACATTATTTAAAACTCCCTGTTTAAATTTTGGACAATTTTGACTTTTTTTTGTTATATTTCGTTAGTTTTTTTCGTTTCGTTGAATTTTTTTGCATACTTCGAATTTGAATTGCAGGTGCATGAAATAATGGAATTTGGTGATTCAAAAAATTATATTAAGGATATTTGGTGTATGTTGAGGCCTTATCCAGGAACTCGCATGAAATGTCGAGCATCTTGTTGACGTAACATGACGAATAACTTGCGGGAAAAGTGTTTTTAAATTATATAAAATCCGAACGAAGTCCGAAAATCACGAAACTTGTCTGGACGTCGTGTTATCGCATGTAGAGGCTATGATAAAAAATCAAGAAGGTTTCGAGCAAGTTGCGACATCGGATGCCTAAAACCCAGACATCTTCGCATGCCTATACAAGTGATCACATGCAGAGATGTTTGGGTTTTAGGCATCCGACGTCGCAACTTGCTCAAAATCTTCTTAATTTTTTATCATAACCTCTACATGCGATAACACGACGCCCAGACAAGTTTCATGATTTTCGGACTTCGTTCGGATTTTATATAATTTAAAAACACTTTTCCCGCAAGTACCTCGTCATGTTACATCAACAAGATGCTCGAAATTTCATGTGAGTTCCGGGACACAGCCTCAACATACACTAAATATCATGAATATTATTTTTTCAATCAAGAAATTATATTATTTCATGCACCTGCAGTTCAAATTTGAAGTATGCAAAAAAATTCAACGAAACGAAAAAAATTAACGAAATATACCCAAAAAAGTTAAAATTATCCCAAATTTGAACAAGGAGTTTTAAATAATGTGGGAAGGCCTCACAAAAAAAATGAGGCAAAAAAAACAAAAAATAAAAATTTCTTCCCCGAGGGCCAAGAAAAGCACTCGGGGAAGGGGCCCTTCGGCGAGTGCGGGCACTCGGGGAAGACTTAAAAAAAAGCCCACCAGCCGGCCCGCCGTGGCCTTATCCTAAACCTAACCGGCTACCACCCCCACCCATGCCCCACCACCACGCGCCCTGCGCCTCCCCCCCCCACACCTGAGGACCAAGCCTGCCAGAGGCTCACCACCCCACCCACACCCCCGCCCCCACACCCCCCCCCCTACCTCCCCCCCCCTGGCCTACCACCTCACCTCTGCCTGCATCCCCGACCCTGCCCTCACCGCCACCCCTGCCGATCTCGCCCGGCCCTGGCCTGCCTGCCTCCGCCTCCCCCTCTCCTCCCACGCCTCCCAGCAAGACGACGACGCCTTGACGAAGCGCGACCGATGAAGGCTCGCTAGGGTGGCTCGCGCACAAGGCGTCTGTGTCGAGCTCCACCTCAGGCGCCCGCAGTCGTGTCGTGGCTCGACGGCTCACCCCCCCCCACGGAGCCCTAGCCCCGACGCTGCGGCGCCTCAACCGCCGCCCAGCTCCAGCCCGATCTCATCATGCGAGCCACGCCCCGAAGCCGTCCGCCTCGACTCGACTCGGCGAGCCCCAACGCCGTCCGCCCCCAGTTCACCTCCAGCAGCCTCATGGCGTTGTCCTCCGTGTGCCTCCATCACACACCGCCCGTCCGTCGGTCCGTCCACAGTGCTAGGTCAGTCGCCTCCTCTCTCTTCTACTTGCAAAGAAATCGCCCAATGTTGTCGTTCTTGCATTAGCGAGATCCGTAAACGGTCCATCGGATTCAAAGAAAAACAACATTGCTAGTGAGGTTTTATTTGAGATAATTGTTTATTTGATTGTACCTCGCATTGATGAGGATTCTGCAATAATCAGCACCACTCGAAAATTGAGTAACCCATAGCTTCGGTTATTCATTTGCGTGTTCACGTGCAAGGTTAAATTCTACTATTATTATTCAGATTGATCGGGTTACAACATTCATTTGTCCTTTTCAAATATACAATGCTTGATTATGATAATGAATAAGGCATCATAGCTTATTGACTTTTCGATAACAATTGTTTCCTTCTTTGCCAAAGTAATCTGTTATTCTTCAAGTGATATGTATGACATAAATAGTATGGTAAAGGCATCAATAATTGTTGTTCTTCGAGTGAGATGGCATATATAGTATGGTAAATGCATTCAAAATTTGTTTTTGCTCTTTGCAGCAGCTAAATCCTTAATTGTACCCTCCTATGATTGTGTCTCATGGATGCTTGTTATTTGAGATTTAAGATATTGGTTGGTTAGGTAAATTTGTTAGCGCTCTTTATTGCAATATATACTTACCGCTTGAAACACACCTGAGCTTTGACTTGGAGATGTTACTGTGATGCAAAGAACATGAATTGGCTCATCTACCGTGGATGATGTACATTCACCATGCCATAAATTGACACGGCTAACAGTCATCATGCTCTACATTTATCTGCAAAACTGTGACTTTTCCATGCTATAGTTTGAGTGTTTTTTAAACAAGTATTTTTCTAACAGTAGGTAGGTCCAAACTTAATGTTTCAACAACCATTTTCCCTATTGATTTCAGATTGATTGACATTTGTTTACACATCCTAGGTGCCTGTGTGGCTCCAACCTTCCGTGCCACTTCAATAGGTATGTTTCTCTTGCACACAAATGTATATGTGTACCTATCTCTTCAAGATTCCACTTCTTCTGGTCCTCTGAACCCCCACTTTGAAGTATCATTGTACACAAGGTAGTAGAGAGCCAGTGCAGTGTTGATCGATTTGGTTTCAATAAAAATGACAGGTTAATTTTAATTCTAACTTTCTGGAGTATGTACTGCAATCTATTTATCTTCTTTTACAGCTTGCCTTTATCTTTTGCCTGTGAAGTTTTCCCACTTTATGCAAAGCTTGTCCTGCAAAATGTTAGACCCATTTTGACATGTGATAGATACAGTTAACATAGTATAAATTATATGTGTATGCTTGTTTCACATATAGCATCATTCAGATAACATGGAATGTCAGTTAACTAACATGAAGTGTAGTATGATCTCAAGAAGTTAATCAGTTTTTTACGTGGTTTTTCCAGAGCAATAGGACTTGTTTGGATTAAATAAATTACTATGCATTGGAACAAGTTTTTGTATATGAACATGTAACTGCTGTCACACATACAGTGTGGGCTGCTCTAACTTGTAAAGTAGTATTTTTTTTTAAAAAGGAAAGAACATCAAGTTCTGGCTTGATAGTTGGGAACTGGACATGGTTGAGTATTGGCGTGGCTTCACTCAGTGAAGATTTGAGGCCAAACTAATGCTTTAGAAAATTAAGCACTTGGCCTGCTTGGAGACAATTGTATTTTTCTTTTATATTTCTGAATTTTCATGTATTAGGAAAATCCTTTATGCTATCTCTTGGTACCTGCTGCACATAGGGCACATAGATGTATGTACTAGTGACCATTTACAATGATTTGTATATGTACCTGTGACCATTTTCTTTCAAAATTGCACTAAATTTCCTAAGTCTGGCAACGTGAACATGTTATGCAATGCATATTGTGAATTTATCATAATTGGCCCATTGAGTAATTTTATAGTTTGGGTACCTTGCTCTTCTGCTATTGTAATCTTTTTTCAAGTTATCTTAGATCAAAAATTGTGGCTGTACTAAGAAACGATTTTGTATTGTATATTAAATTATAGCACTTCAGTGCAATAATACCTATTGGTGTAACCTGCAGAGCATGTACTGTTACTACAATCAATAATATGCCATAATAGACATCTTTTTTAAAAAAAAAAGAAAATAGGCTTCCCGAAAGTGCATGCAGCACTTTCGGGGAAGAGGTTTTTTAAAAAAACAAATTTCTTTGCCGAGTGCCACAGCCCAGGGCACTTTCGGGGAAGAGGTTTTTTTTAAAAAACAAAATTTCTTTGCCGAGTGTCCGAGAGATGGCACTTCGTCGCAAAGAGTATTTAAAAAAAATCAAAATCTTCCCGAGTGTTGCACTTGAGGAAGAAAAAAAAAAAAAAAAAAAGCAGCGTCGGTTCGGCCAACGGCGTGAAATCTTCCCCAAGTGCCCGCCTTGACTTTCGTGCTCTCCCGAGTGCACGATTTTCGGCGATCGGGAAGACGTCTTTCCGTGAGAGGATTAGCCGAAGGCTCTTCCCCGAGTGTTGCACTCGGGGAAGGCTTCCCCAAATACAGCTGGGCCTTCCCCGAGTGCAGCTGGCACTCGGGGAAGCCAGCAGTTCCTGTAGTGAGACAGACTCAACGTCTCCTGTTTTCCACCTAATCATAGTGTATGCAAGTATTTAAAAGCCAAAAAGATGGCCAGCTCCTCCGCCTGCGCCACCCTCCACGTCGCCCAAAATAGCCTCGGCCGTCCGATCACGCGTTCGATGGCCCAGATCGCTCGAAGCAACAGCTTCTGCAACAGCTTCTCAGCTTCGACCGCTCTTTAGCAACAGCTTCTGCAACAGCTTCTCAGCTTCGACCGCTCTTTATTGGCATCCACTAGCTTCCCGTGTAATTCTCTCAGCGTAATCCGGCTTCTGCTCTGGAGCCAATCCATCAAATATATACTGCGGCTTCCGATTTTGGGTCCAGATCCTTCTATAGGAAAAAAAAAGAGTCGGCCTCATCACTTCCCCGTTCTCCCCACACCTCCTGGCTGGCTCGCACGGATGCCGCCGCCGCCGCTCGCCTCCTCCCTTCCTCTCCTTCTCTCCACGGCGATGCACCGGCTACGGCCACGCCGCTGGTCGCGGGGTGCGGGCGGAGCACAGCCCTGGCGCGGCGTGGCTGGCGAGGGCGCCGGTGTGGAGGCCGCCGGCGCGGCCGGCTCGGCGACCACCCGGCGCGAGCAGACCCCAGGTAAAGGCGGCCTCCCTCCCTTGCTCCTCTTCTCCTTCACACTCCGGCGCTGGGGTCAACCGGAGATCTGCGTGCTTGTCGTCCACCTTTGCTGGGGTTCATCGGGGGCCTCCATGACTGGATCCAGTGCCTCCATGGCCGGATCCGTTAGTTCCCCCACAGGATATTTGGAATCACATGATCCACTGGTCTGTCGGCGTCTTAGGTAAGTAAATGGCCTTATCTCTTTGCGTTATGGTTAGGGGATGCACTGATATTTGGGGATTTTGATTTCTAGGGTTCTGGATTGGGCAAGAACAGGGGCATTTCTATGGTGCTCTATCTTCTCCTCTCTGTAGATCCATACTCCATCTTCTTTTTTCTATGGATGCAAACGGAGCAGCCAAGGTGAAAAAGATGCTATCGATCTCCGCCAGCAGGTGCCTTACCCTCCTCCCTTTAAACTATGATGCTGGATGAAAATAGTGCAGATTAAAAACAGAACTGTGTTAGGATAAACCATAACACGGTTGCTTCACAGGTTGGCAACTTGCCAGATGCCTCATTTATAATAAGGAATTTCTTTTCGGTGCATGGAGCAGATACTGAGTCTAGAAAATTCAGTCTCAATCTCTTTTCTGCATATCTCAGTGCCAGTGTATGTGTTTTTGTTTTTTGAAGCAGCCATATTATAACACTGAGATGTCAATAATCTTGCGCTATCAAATTTGGTTTTTGTATACGGGAATCATACTAATAGCGTGTTGTTACTGTTACTAACATCCTGAGTTTTGTATATGCCATGCTACACTATTCATGTCTGTGGTCATTCCAGATATAGCAGTCCACATATTTGCCTCAGAAGTTAACTTTAAATATATGTGCTAATACTCTGGAGAGCTTGATAAGCTGCATGCTTGCCACCCAAAGTTTAGCTTATCAATTCCTAATGGTCTTAGTTCACCTTCCTTTTGTCTTCAGGTTCTCAGGTAATATGTGGTTACCTTTTCTCAGGTGGCAGCTGCCAATGCAGGTCTCTCCATGACAAGATTTGTTGATGCCGGTTTTCATTGGAGAATTTGATGATTTCAGAGGAAGATTGATCATGTTTCTTGATTATTGGTATTTTCGCACCATCTCCTTTATCAGTTCTACCTATTTCCTGATACATTCGTAAATTCTAAGTTCTATGCAACTGCTTGCTGTCTAAGATGATGCAACGAAATTGACTAATTATCCAGTTAGTCCTTCGCTCTATCGTGTACCTCAAAAAATGCACAAAATGAAATCAAAAGAGATTTGTTATAGCATCATATTTTTCGACGCCAATTCTAATATGGCTTTATTTTGTAGGTTGGGCTCCCTTAATCATCCAGGGGGAACACCTACTCAATCCTCGGGAGGACACCTAGGGTTCAGTTCATCGTTTTGGTATGTTATCCTCTTCCTCTGCCTTCCTTAGATGTTAGTTTAGATTATTTCATAATAATAGATCGAAATGCTGCCTACTTATGTACTCATATATATGTCCTTTCCTTTGTTTTCTGTGTTCAAATAAGGTGTAATATGTGTTCAGATGGCATGAAAATATTCAGAATCAAATTCCAAATTGTTTTGGATATCTTATTGGATTTCACAGTTTCCAGTTCCTCTAATTGAAGATGGTATCAAGTTTGAGCTGGTCCAAATATGCTTATCTAACTATCGTGCAGTACATGCTCCTTGCTGCTGCCGACCCACTTATGACTTATCTCAACATATACGCTGTATAAATAGTTGTACAACAATACCACTATTGTTTATTTATAGCTCACTGCTTTCCTGCAAATTTGCGTCAATGTGAGCTATAGGATTTTGACCATCTAGAATGAACCATGCTGCCATTAAGGGACCCACTATGCATCGTTGTTCTATTTGTCCTATAAAGTCAAACAGCTGTAAGGCCTTTTTCTTTTATCATGCATTATATTACCTTACAATCATTCCAGTTTATTACATCACACAGGCTAGCCATTCCATGCAGGACAGAACCAACATCTACTTGTTTTTTCAGTTGCCATGCATAGCGTTTTTATTACATGATAATTGAATCAATGTTCTGTTGTGAGCGACAACATTTCCAAAAATTCGTCGGCTACTACAGCACATGTGCTTCGAATTCAGTAGTATAGTTGAAATGTTTAGAGTTTTCGTAAATACAGGTCTAATGAGCTCCTGATTTTATTTTCTAGCTTCCTCCTCTATACCGCTCAAGGTTTGTTTAGCTGATCACAGATGTCAGCTGCTACCCTGCTACCTAAAGGTTAATTTTCTTTATTGTTTTAATTTACTTCAGTACATGTGTCTTTGGTTCTCCAAATAGGAGGTCTTTTGTTTGCTTCCATACGTCATGATTTCAACTTCCTATTTCTGCTCCCTATCCCAAAATGATGTACAACATAAATGAGTATGAGTTCCCTAGCTGAACTTATTTTCTAACTTATCTCTGTGTTTCGTTTTTGCTTCACATGATGTTTGCAAACTACAGCCGAGCTGCACATGTTTTGTGGGCATAGTTTCTAAGAAAATATGCTAGATAAGGGGAAGTCAGCTGATGATCGATTCATCAGCAACATTAGTTGTTGCTCTAAATTTACGTACTCCATGTATTTCAGTTGAGTTGTTTGGTTATTAAATAATTGGGACATCAGAATCCATTGCCTTTGACTTTGATAGATCCTAGAACTCATGGATTAGTTTGTTTACTTAATATTTGACACTCCTACAACATGTTGTATAGAATATGTGTGCATGTAGATAGATAACTACCTCAGGAACCTTAGTTAGCTAAGTGGACTGAAAGGGCCACCAAGTTTGATAAACTCTGTTAAGTTTCAGCCATCAATCATGGGCTTGGTGCTAATAGAAAATCAAGCAGATCATCCTGCACATATAGCTTTGCCTGTAGTAATTACAGATATTGATAGAAGTTATTAGTTTATAATTCAACTAATGATGATGATAGTGGACTCAGCAGTTTATAGTTCAAATAATAGTCATAGATGGAACTGCTGCTAGAAAACTGTTGTTGGTGACTGTTTGGAAACAATACAGAATCTTTATAGTTTCAGTGATGCTGTTGTTGGTCACGGTTGGGGAAAAAGTAATAAATAGTTTATTTTCCCATTTATTTCCTTATGAACTCGTGTTGACGAACTCACAGCGACGAACTCACAGCACTACTATGCAAAAAGAGGTCTAATTGCAACAACGTGACTCCTGCAAAATAGTTAGGCCCAACCTGTAGCTTCCAGTTAATCTTAAATATAGTTGGTTATGAGCACCATTCAACTACACTGAACACTCTCACTTAAAATGTCCAACTGGTTAAAGAATGTGCTGCCATGTCTGCCTCTAAATTACATTTAGAAAAGATTAGTAATGAAGCTACAAAGGAGGAACCTTGTCTATATCAAGTAAGTTCCACTAAGGTTCAATGCAGTGTCCAGGAAAAAAAAAGCTTTGGTTAGTGCTGTTTTGCTACTTTACTGACCTCATCTTTGCCTTATTTTTCCTTCTCCATATTCTGGATGCACCAGTATAAGTTGATCCGTGCCTGATATGTTATATACAGTACACGCATCATAAGATAATATAGCTCAGTTAACTGATGATGTAACTGATTAGAGGAACATACTAAGAATTTCCGTAATGAAAACCTCTTGGATTCGAATGGAATTCATAGGAACTCTGACCTGTTGCTTAAGACTCTAAAGTTTAAGAAGACAAGTTTTTCCCAAGCTATCCTTGCAGATAGAAAGGCAAATCAGATTGCCCACATCGAAACTGTTTTTTTTAGCAGTGTTGTTTCATATAAAATTCTAGGTTCTATTCATGACATAGGTATCTACTGCCATTTCCATTTACTTTTGTAGGGTATACATACAATATACATAGACAGCTAACACATTAAGGGTGCACTTCAATGGCGTTAACATCTCAAATTTGCTTGCTCTTCATTTTCAGATTGATGTCAATTTGTCTGGTTCATCATATCGATCTTAAACAACGCAACACTACACAGATTATGGACATTGGGGTCATCCATTATTTATTGTTGCAGGACACAGGCTGCTCATTAAGAGGGCACACATTGAAGCCCCCCAAACAAATGGCCAGCCATTGATCAACATCTGCGTTCAATTTTACCTATATATAATTTGGCTCCTCAGCTTCTTCTATCCTTTTGTGCACTTATCCAAGGGAGTCTTAAAGAAGATTACCATGAACTGATCCCAAAAAGGCTGAAGAGGAGACCACCATGATCTCCATAACCATAAATGTAAGCGAGATATGCTTGTGTAGCTGGTTGAACATATTCTGAGGGCCTTGTGTATGACCAGGATATTGTCTACTATTGTATAGACTCTTCTATGTAGATCAGCTAGCTTTTCTTCATTGTACTACTTTGTTGTGTCAAGGATGAGTAAAGGATAAATGATTCAGGGCTAGATGACTTTTTTCTAAGTCTTCAATTCATAATATACTAAATCCATGGAACAATTCAGTTTCATACATGTATTGCGCATTTGAACATTGTACTGCTTTCAACTTTATACTTCAGTTCACTCAGATTTCTAACGCGCCCATTGTTACACAAAATCTCCATTTATAGGCACACAGGCGCGCGGATGCGCGCGCCAATCTACTAGTGTCTGAACATGGATGGACCAGTTCACTGTTTTTGGGGAACTGGTACAGTGGATCTGCACTTGGACCAGCTGCTACTCAATCTATCACTTTTTTATCGCCATGCATCTTTTGAAAAAAAAATTTGATCAGCGTGCAGTGCTATTCTATCCGAAGCATACGTCCTGGACTCATGGGGCTCCATGGCCAATCGGAATCCGAAACGCGGACGGTACTATTTCTGGCCGACATGAGGCAGCCCACACAGACTGCTCCTGCTCGTTAATTTCGCAGCGCAGGGTGCCGAGATTTGACACGAGGGGCACACGAGCCATGACCGGAGTGGCCCGTGAGAATAATGATGGTCGACGCCAGTACCATGGCAGCATCGACACGCTGGAGGCAAATCGCTTTGGCGAAGACGACAAGCAGCAGTCGGTCCACCTGCCTAACCGATAGTATCCTGCTTGCCAGCCCCGTTTGGAACACTCCCTCCGTTCCAATCTATAAATTATTTTAGTTTTCTTAAGAGTCAAAGCGTATCAAAATTTAAAAAAAAACTACAAAGATTTATATCGTCAAATAGATATATTACTTTTCAAGTCTAATAAAAATTAGTATTTGGGTATTATAAACATTATTATTTATTATACAAATTTGTCAAACTTAAGATGTATGGACTCTGAGAAAGTTAGAGTGACTTTATAATTTGAGATGGAGTACTAAATTTGGAACCAGAAGAAGTGTATGTTTAGTATTGGGGATGGTACAATTAAGTTACCACATTCTTGGAGAAAGACTTTAAGATAAATGTTGAAGTTCTTTCTTGAAAGGGCAGCGAGAGATTTGCTGCAAATATATTAGTAGGGAGGGAGACAAAGATAAATGTTAAAGTGTAAGCCTTATTTGCCATAGCTCCATCTACCATACTTAGATCTAGATCAAGCTTGTATGCTAAAATGTAGAAATCTTACAACTCTATTCTTTTTGTTTTGAACATAAACAGAATAGTTCAACCAAACAACTAAAGTGTCTTCACAGCTATTGCTAGAAATATTTAGGTATAAGAAACCTACAAAATCTTTTTTGGAGCCAGAGCTCTGCCAACCATGACCATAGATAGTATTAGGTAGGGTTTGCACTTTCTTTTGCAAATACAGACACTCATACATGAACATATGCTCTCTCCTACGAATACATATACCATATCCCTATAAGCATCTCTGAAAGATTGAGACTGAGCTCATGGATATCGAGATTAATGTCTCGCTGTTGACGGTACGTCGTCTACCACTAAAAGAACAAACATTGTTAAGCCCTGAAATAATCCAACAAAATGCGCGCATCTACGTCGTCAATTTGATGACTTAAATTCAGATGGACGGATTCTGTCACAAGAAATAGAATCAGTTGACGCTCAGTTTGCAATATTTGCATCTCTTATTGTTCTAACGACACAACTAGTACCTAATTTTTCCGTTAACCAAGCCAATCCGGTTCAAGATTCATTTGGCTATTTATAGGGCATGTTTAGGACTCATCTACAAACTCCACCGTAAAGCAGCTTTACAAAAAACTGGAGCTTTTGGAGCACCCCTTTAATTTACGTGCTCTCACAACTACATGTTTTTCTTAGAGAGGAGCTGCACCTGTTTGGCTGAAAAACCTATAACGAAGCAGTCCAAAACAGCACCATGGTTATTAAAAAATATATAGCATTTAGAGTAACGCAGAGTGCTGGTGG